GCCTGGCTGGCTCCCTCCCTCCCTCCCCGCCGGCGGCCGCATGTGGGCCGGTCAGGGAGATCCTTGATCTCCCCACCGGCCCGTCGTGGCAAACAGCGGGGCCGGCGCTAGGAGAGTGCCGGCCCTGCATAGACTGGCAGGGGAGATCCTGGGACCTCCCCTGCCGGCCTCGGCCCATGGCCACCGCGGCCCACGGGGCATTTGCCCGGTGTGCCCGATGGCCAGTCCGGGCCTGGCTACAGGGATGCTGGGCGGTCAGCTCAGATCCCCAGCGGCAGTGTGATTTGCAGGGAATAGAGAGCAGTGTCTCCTTTCCCCAGCAGCAGTGTGATATGCAGGGAATTAGGAGCCCAGTCTCCATTCCCCAGCGGCAGAGTGATCTGCAGGGAATAGGGAGCCCAGTCTCCATTCCCCAGCGGCAGAGTGATATGCAGGGAATAGAGAGCAGTGTCTCCTTTCCCCAGTGGCAGTGTGATATGCAGGGTATTGGGAGCCCAGTCTCCATTCCCCAGCGGAAGTGTGATATGCAGGGAATTAGGAGCCCAGTCTCCATTCCCCAGCGGCAGAGTGATCTGCAGGGAATAGGGAGCCCAGTCTCCATTCCCCAGCGGCAGTGTGATATGCAGGGAATTGGGAGCCCAGTCTCCATTCCCCAGCGGCAGAGTGATTTATTAGGAATTGGGAGCCTAGTCTCCATTCCTCAGCGGCAGGCTGAGTTACAGGGGACAGTGACAGCTGGTCCTGTCCCCCAGCGGCAGAGTGAATTGCAGGGAATTGGGAGCCCAGTCTCTATTCCCCAGCGGCAGAGCAATGTACAGGGAATTGGGAGCCCAGTCTCCATTACCCAGCGGCAGAGCAATATACAGGGAATTGGGAGCCCAGTCTCCATTCCCCAGTGGCAGGCTGAGCAACCGGGGGCAGAGACGGTCGCTCCTGTCCTCCAGCAACAGGGCTGTTTAGCCAAAGGGGAGACAGTCAGTCTCCCCCTCCAGCAGCAGAGCTGTGTATCTAAAGGGGAGACAGTCGGTCTCCCCCTCCAGCAGCAGAACTGTGTATCCAAAGGGGAGACAGTCGGTCTCCCCCTCCAACAACCAGGCTCCAACCAAGCTACTTCCGTGGTAGCGCTGGCACCAGGGCAGAGTACCGCTGGTCTCTGCCCACTCAGCAACCCACCAATGCAGCTTACCAGTACCCAGCACAGCCGTGGTGAGGCACCTGGACATGGACAAGTTTCTCCTCTACCCAGGTGTAATAACCAGTTATTGTGGGTGGGCTGTACTGCTGATTGTGTTTTGTGGGTGGGCTGCTGCACTAACCAGGGCACTGACCGGCAGGAGGTCAGATACCCTGTTAGTCTGTTTGGAAAAGGGGAGAGATGTGACGAGACCAATCTCGCCACTGTGCATTGGAGGAGCCTGGTTGCCCGCCTGCTGCCTTTAGACTATGGCCCCATGTTGAAACACTTGATTTTCCCCTGCGGAGACACGAAAGCCGGGTCATTCGGTGCTGGCCCTGTTTGAGCGGTGATACCCCAGATAGCTATGCCATGGAGCCCATTCGTATAATGAAAGACTATAGGAAAGACTTTGGCTCCATGGCAATTGAACTGTATGTGTGTGCTCTGAGCGCCATTCAGTAATAATGTGCGCTCAGATCTGAGCTATCTGGGGATATGTTGAATGTACCTGTTTTGTGCAATGGCTGCACAGTTATATGTTTTTATGTGTCTTATTGTCTTTTGCTGCCATGTGTTCAATTGAGTTTTGCCTCTGTTCTTGGAGATAATTGGATTACTTCCCAATTATCTCCAGGATAGAAGACTCTGTGGAACTGGTTTTGGGCAGAAAAGCCATGCTTCCTTTGGTCACAAAGGACTATGATCTATCTTTTGAACCACTGGACCAATTGGATGATTTTGACATATGTTTGTATTTGGAGTATGCTGATTCTGAAAATGTACGTTTTATGTGAATCTGATGCATACTTTTCAAGTTATGAATAATGTGGAAAAATTGTATTTCTCTGCTTGTGATAACTACATTACCCATTGTGTAAGGTAATTGTATCACATGCAGAGGGGAGGATTTTGTGTGGGAGTGTCTGAGTGTATTGTATGTGTTTATTGGTTGTGTTCCAAAACTCTGTGGGTGGTACTAATGTGTATATAAGAACAATAAACCCAGAGCTCTGTCTGTTCCTGCTTGACCCTCAAAACGGAGCCTTGTCTCGTTCTTTGGGGGATTTATTGTATGCTGTTCCAGTTTGACTGCTAGGAGAAACCTATTTGTATGGTTTTTCCAATTCAGCTGTTTACAGCATTCATATGCTTGAGAGCATTCATATGCTTCTCCTGTTCGGTGGATTGGTGTCTACAGTAGCTGCCTGTGTCTCTGGAAGGGGAAGATCTCCTAAACGGCTTTTAACCCCTTTTATGCCTGGGGGTGCCGTTACAGTCGCTCATTAGTTGTCTGGTTTCTGTCTCACGGGATACTCACGGAATACTATTTCAACAGTCAATCAGAATTGCTATTTAGTACGCCTGTTTGATTTCTTAAACAAAAATGATATACTAGTCCTTATTCTTTCCTCAGCACGGTACTCATTTTTATTATGTAAAATCTTAGGTGCATATATCAGTGATCAGCAAATTTCCGGGTAAAACCTAGGACAGCGTTGTTTCTTCCGGCAATGTTGTCTCTGGTATTTCCATTTCCTTACACTCATATTCAATCAAAACTGATAGATCAAGGCCTCGTACTGCCTTTACATTTACATGTCAAGCTGAGTTAAGGGGCTTGTCTTATTACATCCCACGTTTGTGAACCGCTATACGAAATCTTTAAAATGTTCTGTTGTGCTATCTGTTTTCCAGCTTTGGCAAGTAATACCGTTACAAAACTTAAGACACATAGAGATACTCCAACACCTATCAGGTAAAAAAAAAAAAAAAGAAAAATCTCAATTATTACAATTATACATTACTGGTGATTACACATATCCCCATTTTTTCTTTTAGGTGCACATAAGAGACTCCTATCCTGTAAGAGTTCTCTCTCTTAGGCTTGATTTAGGGTACGTTAAAATATACATATATACATTAGGATATAACCCAGTACTTCACTTATCATTAGTTAATAATTGTTCATTTTTCAGATAGGCAGCTTTAATCCCTTAAGGACCAAACTTCTGGAATAAAAGGGAATCACATGTCATGTGTCCTTAAGGGGTTAACAAACTTATGAGGTCCTATCTGAAAGACTCTATGTCCCTTTTAAGATTTTTAAATAATTTTATTTGGCAACCTAATTTTATTTTAGTCAACTGTGTTGTTCAGTCTTTATATACGATTATCCCACATGACATAGGCTGCAGTGCAGTAAAAAACATCCTTACACACGAAAATAGAATTTATGACATCCAAATCGATTTTATCATTGAGGGTATTAACATAATTTAAAAAAATAACTATTTTTGTTTTTTTAATTGTTTTTACCTACAAAAACGAGGCACAGCCATGGGGGCCAGGTTTGCCCCCAGCTATGCTAATCTCTTCATGGCAGATTGGGAATCCACTGCCATTTGGGGTGAGCATGCCTGGCGGGCGAACCTGGTTACCTATTTCAGATATATAGACAACCTCTTTTTCATTTGGGACGGCCCCGAAGATTCCTTACATTTATTTATCGACCATCTTAATTCTAATGACAGAGGTATTATTTTATCTTGTGAATATAGTAAAACTACTATGAATTTTTTAGACTGAGAGATTTTTATTAAAGATGGCATTTTAAATACAAAAACTTTTTTTTTTTAAAGTATGCACTAACACAGCCATTGACCATTCAAATTGCCATTATAAACCATGGCTGGAGAGTGCACCAAAAAGCCAATTTTTAAGATTAAGAAGAAATTGCTCTCAAATAGAAGATTTTAACAAGCAAGCTGATTTAAAAAAAAATCAATTTACTGAAAAAAAATTATTCATTAGACAATCTCAACAATACTATAGATGCAGTTAGAACCAAAGAAAGAACAGAACTCCTAACCTATAAAGAAAAAACTTCTGACAACCATCCCAGTCTCCCCATCATTTTCAATTTTAATAATAAAAGCAATCATGTTAAAAAAAATAATAAACATTCACTGGCATTTGCTACAACATAACGAGACTTTGAAGAAAATCATACCATAGAGACCGAACATTCTTTTTAAAGGAGCCCCAAGGCTTAAATCTATTCTAACCTCCAATTTCACTAGAGAAAGTGTAAAAAAAAAAAAAAACAATCCTGTTTCCTACCCAACACTAAAGGGTTCTTTAAGTGTAAACACTGCAAAGTTTGAAAATGTACCGATCAGTCTACCAAATCCAAAACCACACATTTCCAATCTAATAAAACAAACATAATATATAATATTAAAGATTTTATTACTTGCACTACTAAAAACGTAATTTATCTCCTAGAATGCCTATGTGGGCTCCAATACGTGGGTATGACCACAAGAAGCCTCAAAATGCGATTAGGAGAACACTGTCGAAATATCATTAATGGATACCAAAATTACACTGTATCTAAACATTTTGCCATCCACAACAATGATCCAGGCCTCTTAAAATGTATTGGCATAAAAAAATGCACTATTCTATGGAGAGGAGGCAATATTAAAAATATTTTCGGAAAATGTGAAATGGAATGGGTTTTTAACTTAAAAACACTAACTCCTAATGGTTTAAACACTGATTTTGATTTATTTAATTTCAGATAACATTTTACCTGCTTTTTATTATCTACCTATGTATATTCCATAATTATTTTGACTATTTTAACTATCATTATAAATTTTTACTATTTATTACTATTAGGTTTTTGCTGGCTGATTATATGTTCTTTTTCTTCACAATTTTCTTATATTTAATCCATGGTTTTCATATTTTAATTAGGTACTTATGTGTACCACAAGCAAGATGGCCACCTATTATGGGCACTAAAGCTTTATTTAGCTTATTCCCCAACCAAGATGGCCGCCGCCATCATTTCCTTCCTCATCAGCCCCTTTTTTAGCCGTCCCTCGGCCACTCCCCCTTCCGGTCCTCGGCCACTCCCCTTCCCTATTAGCCCAATATAGGGCTTCATCCTATTGCTAGCAAACCCTAAACACATGTAGTTCTCTTCCTGACTACATGTCCCATAATACCGTGCGGTCGGAAGTGACGTCGCGCTCATGACACGCGTCACGTGTTACGGCAGAAAATATTAAAATTCTTATTCAATAACGCTCGTTTTTATATTATAATCACACTACACACATCTTATAAGTTATATCTATATGTTTTTAATTATGAAATGTTGTTATTTATGTGCAATAATCATTTGCTTTGTGATTGGTCTGTGCAATTTTGGCGCCAATTTTAATTAGTTCTATACCTATATAAACCCCAACTAGCCAGGTTGAAAAGTTTTTTATCCATTGATAAAGCCTTATATGGTGAAACGTGTTTGGATATTGTACTGTTTTTATATACTGTTAATAAATAGATTTTGGTCATTTTTTACGTGTATACGTATCTTTTGATTACTACCTGGCCTTTTATATATATTTTATATTATATATACTTTATTTTTTCCTTTTATTTATTTTATTTCCTGGTATTATACTCCAAAGCATCCCAGGTGGGGATTATACCACCTACGCCTTTGTCATAGAGCAGTTAGCCTGCCCTATACACTGTGAGTATATTTTATTATTTTATACAGCAACAATATTTTATTGAGAGCACTATCGCTGTTTTATCTTCTCTCCGAGCTCCTGATACTACCTTCAAGAACACTTATCTTATATCCTACAAGCGGGGATTATACCGCTGAACGCCTACAAGCTACTAGCAGAAGCTCTACCGAATGTGAGTGTATCTATTATATTTTAACATCTTTTATTTCACGTGTGGAACATACGGCACCATTATTGTTTCCATTTTTATCTCCCACTTGCCTGTCTGTTACTACATAGAAGAGGATACTCGCCGTATATCCTGTAAGCGGGGATAATACCGCTGCAAGCCATTCACACCAGAGCTGGATTAAACTCTGTCAACTGTAAGTAAGACCTCTCCTATTTTTACTATTTTGAATCATCTTTCTCATCACCCACCACCTTCCTCCACATTTTTTGGATACCGCAACAAGTAGAACCTTACAACTTCGGAGACCACATATAAGATCCAATATTTTACTCTACTGGACTTGTTATTGTTACTTATTTTGTATATTGGCGCAGACCCATCCCCTATCTATTTGCTTTTCCTTAAGGGGTTAAACCTACATCATCCCTCCAGTTTTTCTACTCAGGTTCAATCTCATCCTATTGTTAGGTACGTATGGTTATGTTTACGCTACTTTTCATATGACAAGCTCCAGCTAGGCATAGAGAACTGGCTTCAAGGGACAGGAGCTGCCCATACTACCTTAAGTTTTAGTTTCCATGAGGCCTCCTTCCACCCCACCTCATGCAGAGGTATTGCCCACACGGCCCCACGTTAGATTATTTGCCTCATATCCCCTTCTGCAAGTGGTCCACGTGTTAGATAATTATTCTATCGAGACCATGGTGGCTTTTGCCTCTTTTTGCCACCTAGACCTTAAATTAGCACATAACCCTATTAAATTATATCTTACAGGTATACTGCACCACGTCCTCGCGACCTTTACCAATCACCCACCTTTTCTTTCCACTTACCCCATCAAATTTATTCTTAAAAGGCATCAACAAAATAGATTGACCTCCTGCTACCAATAGACAGAACCATATTCAGGAACATGTCAGACCTATTGGACACAAATCCCTTTAATACCCAGACTAACGCTGCCATCAAAGTAGCCATTTACATCACCTTCTACGGCTTCCTCAGACCCCAATAGTTCACTGTGGTCTGTCAAACGGATGTCAGATCGGACATAACCAAACATGGTAACCATTTCATTATGTCTTTACATGCATCTAAAACCAATCACACAAACTACATGACTACAATCCCTCTGTTTCCTACAGAGAACCTCTGGTATCCTGTTAAAATATTCTTATTTCTATCCATGCGCATCAGTCTCCCACCTAACTCGCCCCTACTACTTCTTCACGGACACCCACTTACCACTTCCAAATTCATTTCCCACGTAAGAACACTACTTCTAAGATTCGGACATAACCCCACCTCATTTTCCAGTCATTTCTTCAGAATCGGGGCAGCCACCTCAGCCCAGGGGCGTACCTAGAGCATTTGGCACCCGGGGCGAATCCTGGGCTTAGCACCTCCTCACCCTCCCTCCACCTCTCCCCCCCACACCAAAAAAAAAAAAACCTGTAACATTTTTTAAGTGTTTTCCTTTTTTTTTTTAATGTATTGAACAAATTTGGAAACTTTGCAAAACCGCTGTCAGCCCCCTTCTACAAAACCCTTGTGTGCCCCGCCCCCTCCTACAAAACCCCTGTCCTGCCCCTTCTACAAATCCTGTACTCCCTCGTCTACAAAACCCCTGCAACCCCCTTCCACAAATCCCCTTATAAAGACTCCTGTCCCAATACAAAACCCCTGCACCCTTCTACAAAATCCTTGCAGCCCCACACACACACGTTTACAGGGAGACAGTCACACATACAGTCAGAGACAGTCATGCACACAGTTACAGGCTGACAATCACACACACACGGTCACAGGCAGACAGTCACACACACACACACACACACAGTAAAAGACAGCAGCAGACAGTCACATGCACACAGTCACAGACAGATAGTCACACACGGTTACAGGCAACAGCAAACAGTCACATGCAGACAGTCACACATACATAGTCACATGCAGACAGTCACACACACACACACACACAGTCACAGGCAGATAGTCACACACACATACACAGTTACACACACACACACACCGTTACAGGCAGACAGACAGATACACAGACACACAGTTACTGGCATGCAGTCACACACACAGTTACAGGCAGACAGTCACACACACAGTTACAGGCAGATAGTCACACACACACACACACAGTTACAGGCATGCAGTCACACACACATACATACACAGTTACAGGCAGGCAGACAGACACACACACACAGTTACAGGCATGCAGTCAAACACACACACACACACACACAGTTACAGGCAGACAGACACACACAGTTAAGGTAAGGGCCTGCTGCTGATTTGGCTCCGCCCCCGATTTTGAGTAGCTCCATCCCCACTTTAATTCTGTGCGGCCAGTTCAACTGCTCTTTGCGTGTGTGAGCTGTTCTGGCCGCCTGGCACCCTAACTACCATGGGGCACTGTGCGGCTGTACAGCTCGCATCGCCCCCTCCAGCTCCCACTCCAGGGTCATGGCACCCCTACCCAGTGGCACCCGGGGCGCACCACCCCCTCCGACTCCCCCTTAGTACGCCACTGCCTCAGCCTCCAGTACGGACACATCAGTCCATATCATCAAAAGACTGGGCAGATAGAAATCCTCTGTCTACAGCACCTATATTCCACATCCTGAGAAAGAACTCAGGAAAGCCTATAAATGTCTAGTATTGTAAATTATGCAATAAAGTGTGTTTTCTGCAATATTTTTTGCCCTCTTTTTTACAGGCCTACCCGTACATTGGTTTCGGCACACCACTACCAATTTTCCCCCTGTTTTCTATTTTCATATATGAATTATAGCCATAGACCTGAATTTGTGGGAGGAGTTTTACCCTTTATAAGCTCTACCCCCCTGCTTACCCATGCTGGTTCCTGTTAGAGCGACCCCTCCCACCACTCCCTCTAATAATTTACTATCTTCTAAAATCTAGGCGCTCGACGACCAAACACCGCTGGGCTAACAAAGGATCCAAGATGGCCGACCGCCACGTGGTCAGTAGCCGAACGACGGCCACCCCGGAAAGCACTTAACTACCGATTGCTACAATGTTGCAATCGGTTAATGGGAGCCACAGAACCCTCTGTGTGTGGGCTCCCATTCAGTACTTTATTTGTTTCACGAACAGGGTCTAAAGTCACTGTTCGTGAAACTACCATATGAATGCTAGTGGCTTTCGGACGTTAGCATACAAATACTCTTTATTGCAACACACACAAATACATCCTTATATACAACAAAAGCAGACAACCTTCTGATGTTATACAGTAAGTCTTAAAGTGGATAGATAGATAGATAGATAGATAGATAGAGATATAGTAAAAACCAAAGGAAAAAAGTTACCTGTGCTCTTTCCACATCCCTATGTATTTTTAAACAAATGGAGGTTTTAAGTTACCTCCAAGGGCCATGAGAGGGTATGCCCACCTGCCACATCAAGGCAGACTTCTTAGGTTGGTCCTAACTCTAACCATTCACCTTGCTTCCTTGAGCTTCTGGCAAAAATACCTTAATAATATATATTAATATAACCAAAATATATATATACATATTTATATGTACACAAAAATAGATAAATGGTTAAATACCCTATTTTTGTATAGTATGAAGGGACAGTATAGTCACCAGAACATCTACAGCTTAATGCAGTTGTTCTGGTGAGTATAGTCAGTCCCTGCAGGCTTTCTAATGAAAAACACTGCCTTTTATGAGAAAGGCTTCAATACATCTCTATGGAGAAAGTTCAGCTTCTGCATGGAGAAGCTGAACTTTCCCCATAGAGATGTATTGATACAATACATCTCTACGAGGAGATGCTGATTGGCTAGGGCATCGTTTGGCCATGTCCATGACCCACGTTCTTGGCTGGAATCATCCGAATGGAACCATGTGCTGTAAATAAGGTGAGTTTTCTTTTTATTTCTTGGGGGCATGTGATGACCAGGGACCTTACATGTGTTTTTAACACAATAGGGTCAGGAATACACATTTGTGTTTCTGACCCTATAGAGTTCCTTTAAATGTGTAAGTTAGCACTTTCAGGATCTATTATATTATTTGCATTAATAATGTTAAATGTTAAATGTTAAATGTTAAATACTGGATGTTTTTTCTATTCTCTAATCACCAACCAGTGGCAGTTCCAGGGGGGGGGCAACGGGGCAATTGTCCCCCCTGAGAAATCCGCCGGTCTCCCTCCCCTGCCAGCAGCACATGCAGGTGCCAGCCCTGCAATGTGCCTGCGGATCGGAGGGGAGATCAAAGATCTCCCTCCCCGGTCCGCAGGCACTGTGCTGACAGCCGGCAGGGGAGGGAG